AATACACTACAACCTGGGGATGCTTCCATATAAATATGAGCAATTATGGCTTTGCTGTTCCTAAGAAGAAGATTTTTAAAGAATTTTCCTATATATTTCTATATAAAACTTTGGTCGGCCATTGTGGCCCCGCCCTAACCCCGGGGGTCATGATTGGAACAAACTTGAATACACTACAACCTGGGGATGCTTCCATATAAATATGAGCAAATATGGCTTTGCTGTTCTTAAGAAGAAGATTTTTAAAGAATTTTCCTATATATTTCTATATAAAACTTTGGTCGGCCATTGTGGCCCCGCCCTACCCCCGGGGGACATGATTTGAACAAACTTGAATCTAACTACCTGGGGATGCTTCCATATAAATATTAGCAATTATGGCTTTGCTGTTCTTAAGAAGAAGATTTTTAAAGAGTTTTCCTATATATTTCTATATAAAACTTTGGTCGGCCATTGTGGCCCCGCCCTACCCCCGGGGGTCATGATTTGAGCAAACTTGAATCTACACTACCTTGGGATGCTTCCATATAAATATGAGCAATCATGGCTTTGCTGTTCTTGAGAAGAAGATTTTTAAAGAATTTTCCTATATATTTCTATATAAAAATTTAGTTTGTAGGCCATTGTGGCCCACCCTACCCTGGGGGATATTTATTTGAACAAACTTAAATCTACAGATCCTGAGGATATTTCCCCATAAGTTTCATCTTTCCTGGCAGAGTGGTTCTTGAGAAGAAGATTTTTAAAACATACCACCAAATTTTCACTTATTCTCAATTATCTCCCCCTTGGATGAGGGCGTGGCCCTTCATTTGAACAAACTTGAATTCCCTTTACCCAAGGATGCTTTGTGGCAAGTTTGGTTGAAATTGGCCCAGCGGTTCTTGAGAAAAAGTCGAAAATGTGAAAAGTTTACAGACAGACAGACGGACAGACAGACGGACGCCGGACAAATGTGATCAGAAAAGCTCACTTGAGCCTTCGGCTCAGGTGAGCTAAAAACTTCTCAATCGTTGACCACCTCTGAGAGTTAGAAGCTGCTTTCAGTGCATTTTGTTGAGGATGCTTTATTGTATATGATCACAGAGAGGATTCTAATAATAATACCCTAAATTCACGCGAAACACCATTTTGTCAAAGATTTATTTTACAAAGGTTATACACGTGCTTTTACGTTCTTTGCGGTACTCTTATGTCAACACTTTCCTCTGGTTAGTCAAAAGAGACGAATATAAAGCAAACACGTCCAAGAAGGTACAATTCCGGAAACCATTCCCAGGTTTTATTATTACGCAAGCGGATTACTTGATAAATATTGCAGATGTGTTTTCGGGTGATGCAACTTGTTTGTTCAGTTAATTGATCTTCTCACTGTTCAATATCCAGGTCCAACTGGTTTTGACACCTTAATCAAAAATGTATCATGGCAAAGCAGACCCCCGAGGCGACAAACAGGCCGACGAAACCAGTACGCTTATGACAATCCCGCATTATCTGAAACGGCTTCTACCCCTAGTATCTTCACAGTGGAGAGCTCAAGCTCACTTATACACAAGGACGGCGTCTCACTCGACTTGTACCCGGCGCTCCGGAGAAACTCATTCGAATCCGCTTTGGAGACAGGAAGTAGAAAAAGTTGGCGAGAATCAACGGAAAGAATGTCGGAGGATCCTGCCAAAACGGCTGGTACGTCAACAGACGCCCTCATAGCAACAGAAAATGGAGAAGGTTCGAAAGAATCTAAAGAAGAGAGGGAAACTTGGGACAACAAAGCTCAGTATATCTTAGCAGTCGTTGGGTAAGTAGTATTTTTATTGAGAGTGTAAATTCGTTTCATTTCATAAGATTTTGTTAGTCCGAGATATCCCACTTTCTTGCGTTTGTCACAGTTTTGGTATTTGACTTGCCAGGAAATCTTTCTTTCCCCGCACCTCAAATATCAAAAGCGTAAACAAAAAAAAAACGCCTGGAAAAGGTCAGATATTTGGACATAGGGTATTTTAATTAGTATTTTAGATGTAATCATTTATGGAAACAATTTTTTTAAACGGGGATATCCTGCTATCCCGCGATTCCGTTTGATTCTAGTTTTTAATTTGACGGGGGTGGTGTTAATCTTTTTTCCCACCAAAACAGATACTATTGGCCTATATCACAAAGGAAATGACACAAATCCATAGAGTCAGAAAGAGAGTCGTAATTGAAAAAGAGAGATAACTAATATTAAATTGTATGATTTTTTTTAACGGAGGAATGAAATAACTATGAAACTGATTGAGCTAGACATAGAAAAATGCAAGTATGGAATAAAGTACAGCCAATTGTGTTGTAAACCATTATTCATTAAGGCCTAGGCTGCATGGGTACATAATCTCTATCTGATCAACTTAAAAAAAATTCTGAAGTCTTTATTAGTAAATAATTACTTCCCAATTATTTTTAGAAATAAATTTGGTCTTAATTTGTAAACAATGACCAGATGGCATAAAGTATAAAGACAGAGATTGTACATATGGTTTGAAAAAAAAGTGCAGGCGACTATACCCCGCTGGTTTGACATTTCTGCTAATAAGGCAAAACGGCGGGGCGTCCACGTGTGCACAAAATCAGAGACCCATTGCCGACTGTAATTAGTACATTTACTATGTATCCATAAATCATCACTACTGATAAGATGTTATCTAAATACTCAATATTACTTATTTATTAACCATGTTAATCACAAAAAAGATTAAAATTGCCAGCGTCAAAATTATGTCAACTATATGACATGGCTTCGTCTCTATTTTTTTATTGAATGAAAAACTCGTACTTTCTAAATATTTCCTCTAAACTCTCAAATTATTTTCTATAAATATATAATCAAAATCGTCTTATAAACTAAATTTTATTTTGCAGATACGCTGTAGGATTGGGAAATGTTTGGCGTTTTCCATATTTAGCACAGAAAAATGGAGGCGGTGAGTTGATTAATAACTTTTTCATTTGTGCAATAGATATTAAGAAAAAAAACTTTGTCATGACTATACAAAGCAAAAAAGAAGGGAAAAACACGAATTTAAAGCTAACTGACCTTGAATAGAGGACACAGTTTTAAATGATGCATGATAAATGAACCTGTGAGTGGGCGATACCTGGGTATATGAATCTCGATCGGTGACGGTGTTAAATAAAAGAAAATTGAAGCACACGCATGGATTAAAGTGCATTTTGACTAAAATCAATTTCATAGGACATATTACATAAATGTCTAATGTAAAAAAAATATATAAAAAAATGGGGGGAGGGGAATCACACACAAAACTGCACATTCATCAAAATTAACTGAAACTGCGGTACATGTATATCCTATACTTTGTAAGACAACCTAGTTTGTAAATAAATTTTAATTACTGAAATTCACATTTATTATAGGAGGAATATAGAAGAAAAACAAGAACTATTTAATTAATTAAATTTTTATAAAATTATAGTAAAATATACTATAATACTTTCACAAAATATTTTACGACTAAGACTAAAATTTCACCACTCTGTAATTTTTAATTTTTCTAAATAAATAATTACAATCTAATTATAAAATATGCAATATTATAGAAAATTGAGATTTTCTCAGTTTTAGATATTAGTTGTAGAATGGGGGAAAATGTTTAGTCTTTTTCGTTTCTTTGTGAAAAGAGCCACCGGTGTCTTATTTTCTATATTTTTTCTTACTTTACAGGTGCTTTTCTCATACCGTACACAATCATGTTGGCGATTGAAGGCGTTCCCATCTTTTACTTGGAGCTTGCAGTGGGTCAGCGCTTGCGTAAAGGTGCCATTGGCGCCTGGAACCAAATATCGCCGTATCTTGCTGGTATCGGAATAGCTAGTGCTATGGTTTCCTTCTGGGTCTCGTTGTATTATAATACTATAATAGCCTGGTGTCTGTATTATCTAGTCAACAGTTTCCAGTCTCCCCTGCCGTGGGCTGAATGTCCTGGAAATGTCACGAGTGTTCGGTTAGTTACTTTCGGGGACTCAGTATAAAAGAAACACAGAATTTCCATGATTCAATAAATTTCATTGTATAGATAGAAAAATCTTTGAATTCATAAGTTAAAGAACCTTTGCATTATCATACATCTTTAAATAGTAAATGCTCTCGATTTACCAATACTGCACATCAAAACACATATCTAAGAAACTAATTTTAGTATCATTTAACTATAATCCGGGTCTATACCTTTTCCCTCTGTCTTTTTCTTTTGAAAAAGCATAAACTTTTCTAATCGAATCGCAATTTACTTTTTTGGTATAAAATATATATAAATTCTTAATTTTAGATGAGTGGCTCAACCACATATTTCTGGTACAGGGAAACTCTCAACATCTCACCTTCCGTTGATGAACGCGGGACCTTGAACTGGTGGATTGTGGTCAGTCTATTAGCAGCCTGGCTAATTGTTTTCCTGTGCATGGCAAAAGGAATAGCATCTTCGGGCAAGGTACTCACATATATATAATTTCTGAAATAGTTCTCCGAGAACTGTACCTCTTTCGGTATTATCTCCAATAAATCTAGTTATCTGATATTTGAAATTCATTTATTTTAGGTTGTGTATGTCACGGCAACGTTTCCATATCTGGTGCTCCTTATTTTTTTCTTCCGTGGTGTGACGCTTGAGGGGTTTGAAGAAGGAGTGAAACATTTTTTCGTCCCGGATGTAAGCTTTTCAGTTCCCTTTATTTCTCATTAATTCTACAGGAATTTCTATTGATGGACGGCACACATAAATAAATCATTTGTAAATTGTACATGGATCATTGATGAATGTATTTAACAAATACAATGTTTTGGAATTATTTGTTTTTTAATTTAAAGATAATTTAAATTTATTTTTACTTATTTTTCAGTTTTCACGTCTTGGAGATCCGCAGGTGTGGTTAGAGGCCGCGACACAAATTTTCTTTTCTCTTGGAGTGGCTTTTGGGGGCTTGATCGCCTTTTCTTCCTACATGCCCGTTCGAAACAATTGCTACAGAGACGCCATCTTGGTTTCTGTCGTAAACTGTGGCACTTCCGTCTTTGCAGGAGTCGTAATTTTCTCAATTCTAGGTATATATTTCAGATTATAATCAAAGAATATGATATACATGTATTGGAGTTAATAGGTAAAGGAACAGAGCTAGTAATTTCAGTTGAACATTTTATTAAATTCTGACTCAACCTTAGGACAAAAATGACCATCGAGCAAAAACTACTGGAACAGTTATATGCATATTCTTTCTAAAAAACAATTCAATAAAATTATGCCAAACCTACATTTTCAGGATTCAAGGCAACACAGAGTTTTAAGGCCTGTAATGCCCAGAACGATTTGTTATTGAGCCAGAATATGACAACAGGGTTCCTGACATGTGACATCAAAACAGAGATACAGAAGGTAAAAAACCCCTCCCCACTACTCACGCACACATACAATACAGAATATTTCTATATATCCCTATTTATCCTTCAAGCTTCTGCAAATTAAAAAGTGCCCGATGAGTTTTTCACCAAATGAAAAATAATAAAAACACTGTATCTGATGTTAAAACTGGTAAAAACGCACCTTTTATGTCTTATTTATAGGGCTTATACAAATTTTGTTAATCAGTAACAACTTAAGCCACCAATCTATTGCCGTTTCTGTTAAAATAACTATTAACATGTTCGTTTTGTGAAATAAAGAATCCCGCAATGTTTAAGGCAGCGTGAATGACCAGTGAACTCGCATTTTCAAATTTAATTATTTTAGAATCTTTAATTTAAAAAAAAATTCTGTTACATTTTAAGAGCGGATCAGGAACAGGACTGGCGTTCATTGCCTTCACAGAAGCCATTAACCAGTTACCCGCCGCCCCCGTATGGTCAGTGTTGTTCTTTCTGATGTTGCTGACCCTCGGGCTGGACAGTATGTTCGGAATGTTAGAGGGGGTCGTCACCTCCATCATCGACATGAACCTCGTCAAAAACCTCCGTAAAGAAGTGTGTGCAGGTAAAAAGAACTTGTTAATTTTTGTAAATACTAATTATCATTATCAAATTATCAATATAGAAATTTAATCCATTTCATGTTTGATTCTAATGAAATACACCTTTCCTCAAAGAAAATTTTCACGTGCCCGCAAAGTTCTGATCTATTTTGACATCTATACCACCATAGATTTAAGTACGCATGAACAAAAACTTACTGTACTGTTACTGTTGCTCTTTTTATATATCTAAGCTGGTTTTGTCTCTGGTTGTTAGATTTAATCCTATCGTTTTTACATTGCATTTTCCCTGTCTTCCAGCTGTCCTTTGTTTGGTTTCCTTACTGATCTCCTTCTGCTTTGCGGATTCAGCGGGCCCTTACATTTTTGTTCTGTTTGATGAATACAGTGGAAATATCCCTCTCCTTATCATCGCTCTTGGCGAACTCCTCGGACTAACGTATGCGTACGGACTAAAAAGGTAAGATCTCGTACTAAAGAGTAATTATTGCAACAGATCATGACACAGATTTGTTAGAGCTATACTAACCACCTTTGAAAAGAATACACTTGAAAAGATATTGAAAAAAAAATCAAATTTTACTTTATATTTTCAGTTGATAAATGCTTCTTTTTTCTCATTTCGAAAGGTTTGGTGACGACATTGAACTAATGACAGGACAAAGACCTAATTATTATTGGTTGATTATGTGGAAGTACGTATCTCCGCTAGTTATCATCGTCATTTTCCTCGCAAGTTTCATCAAATCAATGATCAGCAGCGCGACGTACGAGGCATGGATTCCCTCCATAGTAAGTTGTAAAAATTTATTCGAGGAAATATTTAGGAACGTTTTTTTCTGTATTTTATTGCTTTTCGATTGCTTTTTTATTTGATCTATCTCTCCATTAAAATTGAATGGAAATGATGACGTTACACAATGTTGATGACGCAGTGAGCTGTTTCTCTACCGTGTAAATTTCATTTTATTTTCAGGCGGATAATATAACAACAGAGTGGCCAGCATGGTGTAAGTTTATAGCAGCAATGTTAATTATCAGCGCCATGGGGTGGATCCCCCTAGTAGCAATTGTGAAAAAATTCAATCTTGTAAAATGGGAACCGGAAACGCCAGCGGAGTTTCCGGAAGAAGAACTTGTTGCCGAGAGGGGAATAAAACCTCATATACCATCTGACAGAGAAAGGAAATGGCTTTACTGGTTAGAGAAGTTGTAAGAAACGGGATTGGTGCAATATAAACTGTCTCTGTGTCCACTTTTAGATAATATTCAATGTAAAATATTTTAGCAAGTTAATTTAACAAAGTTGCATAGATTATGATTTTATACTTTTATATGCAGAAGACCTTTTACAGTACTTCCAGTTTATAGAACTATTATAAAGTTGCATCAATTATTATAGTTTTTGTACTTTTATACGAAAAATTGTTTTCAAGCCACTTCGAACATTTTTATGAAAATTGCTTTTATAGGAATTATCATATTATGCAATACTTTAGTTTTTATGACATTGTAACATTAAAATATTTTATAGTTTTATCTATTTTGACTTATTAATCGCGACATAGAACTGGATTTTAGATTGATTCTTCCGCTAAGCACAATCTTTGAACATTTCTATTTCTATCTGTTTTCTTTGTGATAACTCATTGAAAGTTAGTTGAGTTGATTTCTTGAAAATTCTACAGGAATGTAAATTTTCGCTCAGCGAAAGGTAAAGAGCTAAGGAGGCCTAATATGCATGTAAATCTTGTGCATTCGTCAGTGGGCGGGGGCTATCGAAATTGACATGGGAGGCCTCGTGTAATTTAAATCTATTAGACAACATTTTTCAAATATGAAATTTATTTCCCAATGAGATGGAAATGCATGTATAAGGAATCACTTTCTAGTTTGTCGGGTTTGCCAGGGACAACAACGATAATTGGAAACGTGGGATAATTGATTCACCCGTTGTGCAAATTATCCCACATTTCCAACTATCGTTGATGCCCTGGCATACCCAACCAACTAGACAGTGAAATCTCGTGCGTCTGTCTTAGTGACTGGCGTCAGTGGACGGGGACTATTGAAGTTGACATGGTCGATATCGTGTAATTAAAATCTATTAGACAACATTTTTAAAATCTAAATACAATGAAACGAAAATACAAGTAATCACTTTCTAGTGTGTTGGGTATGCCAGGGCATCAACGATAGTTGAAAACGAGGAATAATTTGCATAATCGACGAAGACGGTGAGTTCTTAAATAGTATTCCTTAAATAGTATTCAAATTACCAATATATCCTATCTGCAAAAGTACATCTGACATGTCACAAGGTTGTACAAGGTTGCAAATTTGCACTCTGCAAAGTCAGTCATGTTTCAAATAATGGTAAGCAGATAAATTTTCAGGGGATTGACTACAGGTACATTGTATATTGCATGCACTTTTAAAAGATCAGTAAAAGTTTGAGAACAGAGGAGGCGGATCTAGGGGAGAAAAATCAGACCACAAAGCATTTTATATCTCTTTTCTGCATTAAAAAAGGGCCTTTTTCTTATTTGAGATAAACAATTTTAATCGTGAATCAAGAAATTTGGATGCAAGCTTGCACTACACATACATGTAGGCATTAATATCATTAATAAAGGCGAAAGTAAAAGAATGTTCTCAAATCGGTTACAAGGCCACCACCCCTCCCTCAAATATTGAAGAATAATTTCTAAACATGCAGTTTCGGTACAACTTGCTGCTTTTGATTGGTCCCCATCATTTCGGTCCAATCTAGATGAACCTATATGGTACTAAATTTTTAAAAAAAAATATTAAAACAGCTTCTTCAGTGACTGTAGTCTTTTTGGAAGTTGCACCACAGGCACCTGAAGTATGGATAATACCCCTCCCTTTTTTTAATGAAAAAAAAATGTGAGAGTGTATAATACCTCGAAAATATAAAATTTCCCAGTCAAACACATCTATATGTCTCAGAAACAAAAGCTGTAAACAAACAGGGATGCCCCACTTCGAGACAGATTTCCAAGGTAATAACAGTGTTACCTATCATACTTTTGCAAACACTCTGTCTGGAAGATGTTCTTTTACTAGTCTCTCTAACCTAAACCCCGCTATAAGCGTTTGATATGCCGTAATCGGACGATTTATTAATCGGATACATAGATTTTCTCCATTGACAGCTTTGGAGCAGGTTTTGGAGTTGCTTATCTGTTTCGCCTTATCTGATTGGTCAATTGTAATACAGTTTAAATATCTAACCAATCAGATAAGGCGAAACAGAAAAGCAGCCACAAAACCTCCTCCAACGCTGCTAATGGAGAAAATTTTAATGGAGAGAACTAATATAGGCCCTTGGCCTGCTGTTCAATCCATATTCATATTGTACTCTTTGTATATTATGAATAAAATACTTCTTAAACTAATGGAGAAAATTTTATGTATCCGATTAATAAATCGTCCGATTACGGCATATCAAACGCTTATAGCGGGGACAACTTTTGTTTCTTACCTTGTGTATTTTTATTATACCGAATAGGGCCATTCTTTAAACGTGAGAAAAACTACAATCTGATTGCATATAACAACATATAGATGAGTTTGACAGGGAAATTTTATATTTTTGAGGTATTAAGTACCAGTCCATATAAAAATCATGCAAAAGGTGATTCACTCAGGTTCTCAGAATTCAATGATTTTCCACACATAGATTTCTCTTGACCTATGATCCACAGGCACCTGACGTTACTTATTTTTCTTTTAATATAAAAAAAAATATTCCCATACCTAATTAATAAACCAAGGTCCACAACGTCGCCATCTTGGATTTTTCTAGGTTTGCCACATCGACTTGTATTTTCGTCTGAAACTCCGTCAAATAAATTCCCTGCAACCATATTCTTTCTGTTACCAGTCTTTTGGGGTCTAAACTTACGGACACTGCAGCCAGAAGGGCGCATCACACTTGCAATTATTAAAAATCCCTCGTCAAACTCAATCTACTGCTTCAACAATCCGAGAAATCGCCAAAGGGGGGCCGGAAGTTTACACTCGACTTGAAATTCTTAGGGAAAGCCCTTTTTTGATTGGTCAATATATTTGTACGATTATTTTTAAAAATAACCAGCGAAAGTTTAATCTTATTCCAAAAACAATCATTCAGACAATAATACAATGTAATATACATGTAAGAACATTCATTTTATTTTCCTCCAAAATAATTTCGATATAGCATGATTAAATCGATTATATTTTGTAAATGTCGAAGATTGGCCTGCATGATCATGCTGATCAATGAACATTTTCGAGACAAAATATTGAGTTGATTGTAAGTCCCTACTTACATGCACTAAATATAATAAATATAATTAACTAGAGCAAAGCTCCTTGTAAAGCAACGAGTAGGTCTTCCGTCCTGTTTGACCGGAAGTAGCTCTCATTTTTAACAAAAATGAGAAATAACGCCCAAAAATGCTTTGAATCCTCTAAAGCGATGTTAATTAATGCAAAAATAAGCCATTTTTTGCTACTTCCGGTTTCACCTGAAGTGACGACTATGCACGAAAAATTAATTTTTAAGCTCCCAGAGACATATGTTGCCCAAAAACTTGTCAAAAACGGCAAAAATACGCGTTTTCCGACTACTTCCGGTTTGGCCGGAAGTGACGACGCTGGAAGTATTTTGACGACTCCATTAGATTTAGCTTGACATTTTCAACAACTTTGCTTCTTTGATGTATAACAAATTCTCAATACTTTTTAAGATATCTGGAAAAAACTTTTGGCCCCTCTAGATCCCTTGATTTAGGGGTCAGCCCTTTTTCCGACATATCGTTTGAAAGATCTTCTAATTCTGCACAAATTATGTTCTATATATTTTAACAAAATATTTTTAGTTTATAAGATAAAAAGAAAAATATAAGTAATTTTTGGTTCTTTTAAGCGTTCTAATTTTTGACCCCTATATAGCGCCATTTTGAATCAAGAAATCGAAAAACAAAAACCGATGTGCACAACTTCAATCCTTCTTTTATCTAAAATCAGTAGAATTTCTGCTCCAGCTTAGCCGTCTCTGAGCCTTTGTCTGGAAACGAAAGCCTATAAATTTTCGTTTAAAGGGAAATAACTCAAAACCGGAAGTGACTTTTTGAAATTTTAGTCAGCTTTCTGATAGAGTTTATAAACGTCTATAACCTCTGAAAATTTGAGCGAAATCCGTTGATAAATGAGTGAGACATGAGGCCTCAAAGTTGCGGTCTAGGAAGCAGAAGAAAAAAAAGAATAACTAGAGCAAAGCTCGTTGCAAAGCAACGAGTAGGTCTTCCGTCCAGTTCTGACCGGAAGTGACGTCAACAAGAGAAAGGAATGAGTTAAGACGCCTTCAGTGTCTCTAAAATTTAAAAAATTTCAATTTTACGTCAAAACCTTCAAAATAAGCTAATTTAGCTACTTCCGGTTTGACCGGAAGTGAATCATTTGACGAATTCAGACAATGTAGGCATCATTTCCGGCTGACGTCAAAGTAACAAGTACAAAAAAACTTTGAAAAAAACTTGCATAAAACCATTTGTTCGATTTCTTTTGACGCAAGAGAAAAAGTTTAATTTTTCGACTATTTCCGGTTTACACCGGAAGTTATTCAAATGAATGCGTTTTGTTGACGATTGTGAATGTGAACATAAGTTTTACTTGCCATTATTCAAAACAGTTAATTTTTTCAAAAAATCTCGAAAATTAATGTCACTTCCTGTGTCGACCGGAAGTGACGGATGCAAAATCAAAAGATGCCATGCATAATTGAAAGAGATGTTTTATCATCCCCGAAAATATCGTGATTAAATCTTGAGTGGTTAAGGAGGAGTTGCTTGGACAAAATGGCAATTTAAAAAAAGAAAATCGGACGGAAAATGTGACCGGAAGTGATTTTACCAAAAATAAAAAAATGGTCTGGAGATATTATAACAATGCATTATTCCTGAAAAAATCTTTGAAATCAGTCAAGTAGTTTCCGAGAAATCACGTGTACTATGAAAAGGGAATAATAATAATAATAGGAAACATAAGAAAAACAGTAAGGTCTTCCGAAGGAAGTCGGAAGACCTTAATAATCTTTACCAACAGAATCAGTAGAAGGTCTTCCGTTGGAAACGAAAGACCTTAATAAAACTGTCATTATTGATGCGCTGTTTGAGCGCTATCCGTGGAGAAGATTGACTTTGTTTATTTAAAGTATGTGCACATGCGCACGTGTGTGAGGAGGGGGAGGCACACTAAAATTATTTCAGGGAGTGTTGTGATCTGCAATTTTATGTATTGCAATAAAGTACATGTAGTGGCCTGGCAACATTTTTAT